AAAAAATCCTTACATATAGTTTTTTATAAGTGTGCTCAACTATGTTTGTGTTTATACTGATGTGTAACACCCCAATGCCTTATTAGTATTATACCTATTGCAGGTTTGACATTCCCCATAATAATACTTTCTTTTATCAGAATATTCATCATTTTTGTCAGTATAAGTATCATCATAATGTTTATTTTCATCCAAAGTGTTTTCCATAATGATTTTTTTTGTATAATTTGTCAAAAAAAATTTTTTTAAAGAACTTTTTTTTTTCCATCCACAATATATTATATTTAGATTTATCTAAAAAAAAATTAAATTTCACCTGAACTACAACAATTCAGCATTGACATCCTAAAGTAATAAATATTGCAAGTGTGCAATCTGAGTTATTGGAGTCACCACTACATACAACTATACTGCTTGATTAGAGTTTCTATTTGAATAAGGGTTTATTCAAATTATTTATTTACTTGCTATGAATTTGAGTATTTGAATTACACTGAAAGTTTATTCAAATAAAATGAATGAACAAATAATTCAAATAAGACAAATAAACAAATAAAATAAATAATTCAATTGAAAATTTAAATAAAAATAAATAAACAAATAATTCAAATAAAATGAATAGTTCAAATAAAGCGAATAAAAAGAAAAGAAATTTCAAACAAAACAAATAAACAAATAGCTTGAATAAAATGAATAAACAAAATAATTTGAATTAAGTCCCACTAATTCCCAACATGTTGAGATAAGTTTCTTAACAAAGGGGTAGGATTTCTATTTGAATAATAATAAGAAAATTGATTCGAATAAGGAAATTAATTTGAATAAAAAATTAATTCGAATAAGAAAATTAGTTTGAATAAGAAAATTGATTCGAATAAGGAAATTAATTTGAATAAAAAAATTAATTCGAATAAGGAAATTAATATTAATATTAATATTAATTTTAATAAAGCAAATAATTCGAAAAAAATTAATTCGGATAAAACAAATAATTAAGGTCCAGTTTAATTCAAGCTCACTGGAAAGATTGCTATTTATTAAAAGAAACATGAATCTTGTTTCAGTCTTTCCTTATTAGTTTCATTTTTAATTTCAATTTTTATAATAATAAAATCAATATTAAACCTTGTTGTATATATAGTTTGAATATTTAAGTAATTGAACAACCCATGATTCCAAATAATCCAATAAATGAATGAACAAACCCAAGATTCCAATAATGAATAAAACAAATAAAATAGTTTGAATAAAGCGAATTAAATTTTTAATTCAAATAAACTTTTAAATTTGAATAAAACTTTTTAATATTAATATTAATTCGAATTAAAGGTCAACTGTATTATGAATAATTCGAATAAGAATTTGAATAGAAGCCCTACAAAGAGGTGTATTGTGACCTTTATGATAGTAAGTTCTTTTATTAGATCTAGTTTTCTTTTTAAGGTGTCTACTAGTGCTTGCTAATCCACCATCCATTGCCTTAAGTTGGGCCATTAAATATGTCTTGTTCAGACTTGGAAAGAGCTTGAAAAGATTCCCTTAATTCTGCAAAATTTTACTTGGGAATTCTTGAAGAACAACCACAATCACAACCTTTTTCTAAAAAATCAATTGCTTTTTGATATTCATTAGAACCATTATATTCACTATTACTTCTCATATACACTTATCCCTATATACAATATACACACACTAGACAAAAGTCAGGCCATTTTTAAACAAAGATTGTGCAAAAACATACTTAATAATAATTAAATAAAAAACATTGTTTTGCAACTTAGGTTCACCAAATTATATATGCAAAATTTCACATCTTTAATGCTTTTATTAAACTAACAAGAACAAATAATTGAAGTAAAACCTAAGCAAGTCAAACCAACTCATACTAATTCTTTTTTACCAAATCTTTTTTTAATATCTTTAATCTTTAAAAGATAATATATTCATTATATTATTCAAAAATTAGACAACAAATTATTTCTCTACTAATTTTCTTTTCTTTCTGGGTTCTTTGTAGTTTTGTGTTAATGTTCTTTCACTGGTTATGATTATTCTTTCTTATTGGTAAATTTCATAGGTAATCTTAGATAAGCTTCAAGTGCCTGAGCATCATTTATTTTGAAAGCAATTTTTTCATCTTGTTCCTTTTTTAAAATACTTCTAATGGTGCTGTAATTCTTGGGGTTCCATGGTAGACCTAATGTAAATTAGTTTCATATTAATATTAATTATTTTTATATAGGAGGATAGTTCTATATATGGGGCATGCTGCAACAAAACCAGACAAAGTGAACATTGGTATTACTGAAGATTTCAGGGATCAAAATTTAGTAATGTGATTATTAAAATCTTCCATTTGTTACCCTCTTAATATTAGGTGATATATAGAATTCCCTCTATATAAAAATAGTTAATATGATAATAATGACAATATTCTACATATTTACTGTTTATTATTTATTTTAATTTTAAACAAATAAAACATTTATTTGGTCATGACATTTGCTGAAAATATATCAAAAATTGTAATAAAAAAGTTTAGATCATTAAATTCAGTTCTGCAAATACTTTAATAATATTAAAATATGATATACAGTCAAACCTCCATAAATGCACGCTGTCTCTCAGTCCTGAGGGGGGGGGTGCATTTATGGAGGTTTGACTGTAAAAAGAATGTGATAAAATAAATAAGAATAATGTATAGATGTATAGATGATAAATGCATATATTTTGTGTATATATATAATTTTTTTGCTAAATTTCTTGACAATGAAGAACATGATCAACTGGTATAAGTATATCATACAAAATCAGACAAGCTATAAGTATCTTACATCTAGTCAATTTATTCATATGTATTTTTATTAAATTATAACAACATTTCTAATTATCATCATCATCAAATTACTTTTATCATTTTTCTATATAGCAATCATCTCTAATTAATATCCACAATTGTCTTAAACATTAGAAAATTGATATTTCTTTCCACTATCATCATTTTATTCATTTTCCTAGCACCAACACTTAATTATTATCAATGTCATCATCATTGCCATTAACAAATGTATTGTCATCATTATTACTTTCACTAATTCTTTCTAATTCTAATGATGTTATCTCAGTAGTATTAGTATTATTAGTATTTTCCAAAATACATATCAACCCTTTAATTAATTCAACACTACCAGATTCATATGGGCCAGCATATTCATAATTGATACTATGATTATCTGTAAGTATTCCCTTAAACAGATACCTAAAAGAGAAACCATCACCCAATAAGTCAATGACAAAAAACTACATGAGGCTGCAAGGAATATGCATTTTTTATCTAAACTTACCAAATTGATCCATTTGATAATAAAACATAACCTACCCTGATACCAAAATGATCCAGTTCTTCTAACAAGCTGTCCATAGGTCCAATTACTTGCGCAATCTTCATTTTCCATTGATCATTTTCCATTGATATCACTGTTTTTATCTCTAGAAGAATCCTTTTTCTATAAGTAATTTTTTCAAGAACAGATAAATCATATCTACCAACTAATCTGTAATTTTTTGATTTGTAAGACTGTTTCCTGTCATTCCAGAAGAAATTTGGATATGATTTCAATAATTCAATAAAATGAATGGAAACACATATTGAAACCAAAACTTCACCAAGTATTTCAACAAAATTTTCAGTCATATTCGATAATTTGGCTTGAATATTATTTACATGATTATTTATAAAATCACCATTTCTTGGATAATTTATATCTGCTGCAATGTTCCAAATTTCAACTGAATTGATTACATCCTGAAACTGGGACCAAACTGCTGCTGATGCTGGTTTGTATTCAGTTGTTTGTTTTTGTTTGCATAATTTTTCAGCTATTTTTTTGCTAAGTTGCTCTAAAAAGTCTATCAAATTATGAAGCAAAAAAAGTCAATACAGGCAAAAGAACAAAATATGTAAATGATAAAATTTCTAATGATACATATTAATTATATAGAATCATTTTTCTTCCAATAGTGTTTACCTTCATTTAATAAAGCATAATCTTGGTGTAAGATATGTGTAAAAAAGAGAATAAAAAAGCACAAGTTAATCAATGTCATACCAAATGTTACATCTTAAATAAATATAAATACTCTAGCTATTATGGTTTCTCAAACAGTTCACTGTAATTATTTTACCTTGTAAAAGCATTTTAAGAGAAGCAACTATCTCTTTATCTTCACCCTCAAAATATTCTAACCGTTCTTCTAGTGGTTTGTTCAAAAGAAGGCCTTTGATTTTTCCACGTTCATCTTCATCAGTGAAAAGAGTAGTCATTTTTTCTTTTGCTTGCTTCCATGACATTAATTCTATACTATTATGTTGTATATTAGTACAAAGTTTTTTAGGTGGTGAAGTATAAGCAAATGTAGCCTTGTCACTATCAGCATTGTTATTGCTTGTTGATTTTAATGGTCTTTTATGAGAGCTTTTTGAAGGTTCACATTCGCCAGTAAAATTATTATCAAAACAATGATCCGTCTGTACATCATTTACATTTTCTTTTTCTTGTAACAGAACAAATCTAAAAAGTGAATACAAAAATTGATTTAGCCATGTCAAATATATTAATTAACTATATAGGATGACTAAAGTTGGTGCCTGCAACTGATTTGGAAGTTCTGCAACTGGTTGCAACCTCCTGAGTTGCAACTCCCTACTCGCAGAGCCATCTTTAAGGATGACAAATTGCAAATCAATAATATTTTTCCTCTTTTAAAAAAAGAAAATTATCATTATATAACTAGAGTAACGACAAGTGGCGGGTGATAACCACCACCACTATCCTTAAAACACTTACCCCAATACACCAGATTTGTCTTGTTTGGTTCTTTTTTTCGTGTACTTTTTTGAAGACATGTTTATATGTAAATATAAATAAAAAGAAGTTTATTATTTGATCGATGCGATACACATTAATTATTTATCCTATTGTTTTTTTTTTGGTAGGACAGACGCGAATTGATTGATTTTTTTTTTTGGAAAAACAATTTATTTTTTGACAGAGTCCAAGGTGACAAAACGTGAGTGTTGTTTGTTTGGCTTGGGTCTCCTAAAGAATACGTGTTAATAACTAACCAGAGGTACTTTTTTTTATTTGTATTGATATTTTTATTTTGGTGGTTATTATAAACATTTTAATTGGAATCAAAACGTGGAACAGATCATTCATTGCTGGGTAATTACAAGATTTTCATTGATAATATTTTGCTTTGCGTAATCATAATAATACTAATATTATATTATTATAATTACAAGATGTTAAGGCAATACACTGTTGAATATGAAACAATTCGAAATGCGATGTTTGATTATTGGAAATTTTACAAGCGTTGAAGCATGCACGCTACCTTGAACACTTTACAGTCATTCACACACGTTCCTCGTGTACAAAAGGCTAATCTGACCAAGATTTCTATGATGATACAATGATGCAACTGAATTCCAGGGGGGGGGGCGCATGGCCCTGGAGTTTACCGAGTCTGCACCAATCGTCAATGACACTTGATAATCTTCCCAAACCAGAGAAGGCCGCTGGCATGTTAGACAAAAAGTCGCCTGCAACAATCCAACCTCTAGGGCAAGGATGGCTCTACAACCAGGTTGCAACTCGGAGGAATATTAAGAGAATCTGCAACTTGTTTCAAGCACAGGAGGTCACAATTCAGAGCAGGGTTGGTGGCCCTGAAATCGCATTTGGGCTCTGATGTTAAGAGGAAAGTTGTAAAATAGTGTTTGTTTTGTATAATCACTTTCATAAACTCTCTGTTTCTCTGATTCTAACCAATTTATAATTTTGGGTAGGGGATTGAACTGGGTTTTTGCCCAATCAGTCCCCTGTTGTATAGATTAAAATTATTGCATGGTTATATACATCTTTGTCAGCAATATGGCCAATGTCAAATATATTAATTAACTATATAGGATGACTAAAGTTGGTGCCTGCAACTGATTTGGAAGTTCTGCAACTGGTTGCAACCTCCTGAGTTGCAACTCCCTACTCGCAGAGCCATCTTTAAGGATGACAAATTGCAAATCAATAATATTTTTCCTCTTTTAAAAAAAGAAAATTATCATTATATAACTAGAGTAACGACAAGTGGCGGGTGATAACCACCACCACTATCCTTAAAACACTTACCCCAATACACCAGATTTGTCTTGTTTGGTTCTTTTTTTCGTGTACTTTTTTGAAGACATGTTTATATGTAAATATAAATAAAAAGAAGTTTATTATTTGATCGATGCGATACACATTAATTATTTATCCTATTGTTTTTTTTTTGGTAGGACAGACGCGAATTGATTGATTTTTACAATGTGAATAAAGATATGTACATATTATTTATTAGATAATTATGTATATAGATAGTATAAGCATGT